CTGCTCTAACCCACCAGCCCCCACTCCCCTCCCAGAGCCGGGGAGAGAACCCAGGAGTCCTGGCTCCCAGCCTCCCCCCCGCTCTAACCCACCCAGCCCCCACTCCCCTCCCAGAGCCAGGGAGAGAACCCAGGAGTCCTGGCTCCCAGCCCCCCCTCGCTCTAACCCACCAGCCCCCACTCCCCTCCCAGAGCCGGGGAGAGAACCCAGGAATCCTGGCTCCCAGCCCCCCCTGCTCTAACCCCCTATCCCCTCTCCATGTGTTTATTTCTCCACTCAGGGGTAATCATTCAGGTTTACTGTCACTAAAATGCAACCACCTCTGGGGCGGGACGGCTGGTTATCCAGGGACCCCTTGCCCGGTGCTGAGATGCAGCCACCTCTGGGGCGGGTCACGGTTCCCGTTTAGACCCCCACTCACCTGCATTAGATACTCCAGCCCCGGGGGGATGCCGGTGGACACGGGCAGATAGGGCGTGATGGCTGAGTGGGGGTGTTGAGCAGCGGGGTCCCCGTATGCATGGGGTGGGGACTGGGGCTGGACCAGCTGCCCTGCGCCCGGATTGGAGGAGGGGTAGATGTTGAATCCCGGGGTGGGGACTGCGGGGGTGGGTGGGGGCTGGGGAGTGGGGCGGAGGGGTAAGTAGCCTGGGGATAACCTGTGAACGAAAGAGGGGGGAAGACAGGGTTAAAAATCAATCAATCAATCTACCTCCCCATCAAATCTCCCCCCCCCCCGAGTGTTACACGAGGACCCCTCGCCAGGTGCTGAGATGCAGCCATCTCTGGGGCGGGGCGGCTAGTTACACAGGGACCCCTCACCAGGGATGCGGGGCGGGGGGGAGAATCAATCCAGCCTCAATGCATTCTGGGATTTGTATTTCCCAGGGATTAGGTGGTGGGGACGACAGAGCAGGGCAGCAAGGCATGCTGGGAAAGTGGAGCAGGCGATAAAGAGTTTCCAACATGCTTTGCTGCCCAGTCCCTGTTTTTTCCCCACTACCAGCACCACCCCCTCCCCCTGCTCCTTGGGAACTACAAGTCCCAGAACTCCTTGGGGCCAGGCAGCCCTCTTAAAGGGCCAGTGCACCCCTCTCCCCGCAGCCCTCCCCTCTTCCAGGTGGGAGCTAAAAAGAGCCCAGCTGACAGGTTAACAAGCCTTGTGGCTAGAGGGCAAGTGCTGGACGTGGTCTATCTTGACTTTAGTCTATCTAGGCCTTTGCTACGGTCTCTCGTGACCTTTTCATAAATAAATTAGGGAAATGCAACCTAGATGGAGCTGTGGGCGCACAACTGGTTGGAAAACCGTTCCCAGAGAGTAGTTATCAGCAGTTCACAGTCAGGCTGGAAGGGCATCACGAGCGGGGTCCCGCCGGGATCGGTTCGGTTCAATATCGTCATCAATGAGTTAGTTAATGGCATAGAAAGCACACTGATAAAGTGTGCAGACAATACCCAGCTGGGAGGAGTTGTGAGTGCTTTGGAGGATAGGATTAAAATTCAAAATGATCTGGACAAACTGGAGAAATGGTCTGAAGTAAATAGGATGAAATTCAATAAGGGCAAATGCAAAGTATTCCACTTAGGAAGGAACAATCAGTTGCACACATACAAAATGGGAAATGGGTGCCTAGGAAGGAGTCCTGCGGAAAGGGATCTGGGGGTCATAGTGGATCACAAGCTAAATGTGTGTTAACAGAATAACCCTGTTGCAAAAAAAAAGCGAACATCATTCTGGGCTGTATTAGCAGGAGTGTCACAAGCCAGACACGAGAAGTAATTCTTCCACACTGGAGTATTGCGTCAAGCGAAGAGAGGGGCCAAAGAAGGAGGCGCTTGGGGGCCCGAAAGTGTCAAAAAAGGTGGACGATGCTGCAGGGATGATGGCTGACCGGCCGACGGGCCACCAGCGGGAGGTGATGGAGGCAGCAACGGAGACGGACAGGACCCAGAGGGAGGCCAGGTGGTCTGGGATTGAGCTAATTCCCAGACGACCAGCAGGAGGCGCCACGGCGGTGAGTGCTCGATCGGCTACATATGGCGGAGAATGCGGGCAGGCCACAAAATGGACCCAGACCCTAAAGGTGGAGGGTCCGGGGGAGGCTGGCCTGCGGGCGTGGCTGGAGGCAGCGGAAGAAAGCTCACAGGGAGAAGGAAGATCTGGCCCTGAAGTTGAAGGACAGTGAGGAGAAGCGAAGGCAGCTGGCGGGACATCTCCAGATCGCACAGCCTCGAGGACCCTCCCTACCCCCGGGCGTGGGATTTTGTAGGGGGGCAGTTACCCCATTCCTGGCTGACTGGGGAAGTAGCCACTGAGGCAAGGTGGGCTTAGAGGGTGGGAGGTTCCCCTGGGAGGGTCCATGGATAGTTCCCACGAAGGTGTGACCACCCACCTCATCAGTGGAGGACGCACCTGTAAGGGGAGGTGGTGGCCTTGCGGGGGAACAGGGGGGTAGGTGGGAGGGGGCAGTGGGGGGAGAAAAGGGGGTGGGGGGATTTGGGACGTGCAGGGCTGCGGCGGGCAGAGAAAGAGGCGACTTTCCCCAGCTCCAGGGCTGTGGCTGCTGGGGACAGACCCCCCCCCCTTCCCAGCCCCAGCTCGGGGGCTGCCGCATGGGGACGGGGGACAGGGGGCACATCCATCGCATTGGAAAGGTACGACTACTGATATTAAAATATGAGTTGTCGGCTTTTATGTGTAGAACAAAAAAAAGTTCATTATTAAGGGATCGTTTTTTTAATCTAGCGCTTTTATCCAAAGCGCTTTCCGAAAGAAAGACAGACAGACAGAGGCTGAGTAGGAAAGACAGAGGCTGAGTGGGACAGACAGACAGACTCAGAAAAGTGGCCCCAGGCCGGGCGCGGGCTCTGGGGGTGGGCGAAGAAGGGAGCGAAGCAGCACTGGAGGCAGAAGAGCAGGGAGAGAAGCGGAGGGGAAGGAAGGGAGGGAGCCGGGAAAGCAGGAATGTGACACCGGAGGGGAGGGGCAGAGGAAGCGGGGGGGGGGGAGGGGAGGCTGGTCTCTGTAACGAGCGCGTTGGGGCTCAGCCCATCTGACAGGGGCTGGGCAGTGACTCCGGGGCGTCCCAGTGCCTCCACCCTGGTCCGGTTCGGCTGCATTCCCGGTGTCGGCATCCCCGCCCAGCCCCCCTCATCCCAGCCCTGCCCCCCCCATCCCCCCCGTGACTCATCCCAGCACTTGGAGTGCACGGGGAGTGAGGGGCTGGGCTAGCAGGGGCTGTGGGTCGGGAGTGAGGGGCACCGGCAGGGCTGGGCTAGCAGTGGCTGCGAGTCGGGAGTGAGGGGCACCGGCAGAGCTGGGGGAGGCAGGGCCGGGCTAGCAGGGGCTGTGGGTCGGGAGTGAGGGGCACCGGCAGAGCTGGGGGGGGACAGGGCTTGGCTGGGGGGGCTGCGGGTCGGGAGTGAGGGGCACTGGCAGAGCTGGGGGGGGCAGGGCCGGGCTAGCAGGGGCTGTGGGTCGGGAGTGAGGGGCACCGGCAGAGCTGGGGGGGGACAGGGCTTGGCTGGGGGGGCTGC